TTGTTCAAACCAAGTTCAGATTTTATCATTTGAAAAAACGTATCGGTATTGAGTAGACCGAATGCCTTATTATAAAAGAAGAAAGCAAAACCTAGTACGTACATTAACCTCAAAGATTGAAAAAATCTGTTCAGAAGATACAATAGAGAAAGAATTAAATCCATTACTTGAAACCCTATTAGATAATGGATGTCAACCAAGATTCATTGATAAAATGTCGCCGAAAATCGCAACTGTTCCTGAGAAAAGTCTCTCTTCATGAACCTGGAATTCAAAGGTGACATCGCAGCAGAAATTTTTAAAAACCGCCTTTCTAAATGTCTGAAAAAGACATTTCAAGTAGGCATCTTACGCATCACAACCTTCAGTAGACAGTTAATCCACTCTAACATTAAGGATAGGATACCACTTTTGGCCAACTCATTGTGTGTTTATCAGTTTACTTGTTCGTGTGGAGCGAAGAGTGTCGGCTGTACGCAACGTCAAATCCGAAAACGTAATTTGGAGCACTGTCCAGCTTGACTAACCAGAGGAGAAAAGAAGGATACTAGCAGCTCCATCCTCGAACACCTTGTCAACTCTGGACAATGAACACGAATGCTTCAGAGTGCTACACAGAGTCTCTCAATATTATACGAAAGGACTTTGCATACGCTATCTGTGTATAGCTGAATCATTGGCTGTTCGGGATCTAAAACCTGATCTCTGCATTCAAAAGCACCACATACATTCACTCGCCCTACGATGGCCAAATTAATGTTCTCACTATAGTCTTCCTACCGTCGATTAGTTAAGTTTACTTTCATTATTATTATTCTCGTCATCCTTGTTTTATTATCACTCAACACTTTGTCGTCCTTCCACTAGTTCATGTCCACTCTACACCATTACACTGATTAGTCACTTTCTCACACTTATGACGCCATCCCAACTTTTGCCCCTTCTATGATTTCTAATTAGTCTCCCATCCTAGATTACACCTTACATTAATTAATACATTTTCGACTACAAATTTTACCAATATCTGATTGGTCTCATGATTTCTTTGTTAAATATAATAATTAAGATCGTACAGCTGTTGATGAAAATGAATCATGGGAACAAAAATTTTCTCCGTTGTTTTCGTCCTTTCTTCATGACTCAGTATGGGAATATTTTGTTCATAGAAGAATTTTTGTATTCCCCAATGAATGAAAAAATAAAACTACATGGTTTTAACAGATTTTTCACTGTGCAATAATAATAATAATTTGCTTTATTCCAAAAATAGTACTAATGATACAGCAAGGAATTTTCAGCATTCAGTACAATATTGCATCTAATTTACTCAAAACGACAAAAAATTAACATTGCATAATAATAATAACAAAATGTTGTTATAGCAGCTATGTAGCAATTACAGTATGCGATAAGGAGAAAAATATGCATAAAGTATAAAATTATAGTAATAATAGTAATAAAAACTAAAATAAAAATAACAAAGTTATAATTAAACGATAGAAAGGGTGACACCATAAAATTACAGAAAGATGAACAATGAAAGGGTCGATTCACTATGCTAATTACATAGTAACTTATATGTTTCACGTCTAACAGAGTCTTCATCACATAAAATACGGGCTAAATATGGTATTGTAGAATTTTTGTACTTAGTGGTTCTAGCATATAATTTCTTATGTTGACTTCTCGTCCTACCTGATGAGATACAAGAGGATAGTTGTGAATAAAGAGGGTGCAGAGGGTCTGACAGTACGGCCTTTGCCCACTTTGTGCAGGAATTTACGTGTCTCTCGACTATAGTACTGGCGAGCTCACGCAGTGGCAAACCACAAGCCCTACTCACAGCATTTAATACCCTTCGTAATATGAAATGGTAATGGCCATATAAAAGTAAACGTCTGAAACCAAAATTTACAAAATCTCAGATCACACTTATTATTATTATTGTTCCCTTGGGTTCCCAGAGGAATATAGGCCTTCAACTGCACGTCTCCACTTGTTTCTATCTTCTGTTCAAATCACATACGGTGACTAAATCATAGTTCCTCGGCATAAGGTAATTTTTAAGATTTCAAATGGATGAAATGCTTCTACTGTATGTTTTACTATTATTTCATTTCATTCTTTTGCTTTTCAATTGAAACATGGGGCTAAAAGCTTCAGGTAAGAAGTTTTCCTAACAGTGGTTTTGCTTTTTCACGGACTGGGGCTGTAAGTTTGGCGCCTAACATTCCCTCATTACCATCTTCCTACCGGCTAATCGAGGTTTATGGATGCGTCAGTCAGGAATTGGACCCCGAACCACACGAAGCGTGGGTGGCGAACATTCTACCGCTGCATCACTCACACACTTATCTTTTGTTATCACTTTTGCATAATCTATTGTCTGAATAAGCATTTTTCTGTTAAACTGATACATCAATTAACGGCAAAGATAAAACTGATTTGTGAGAGTACACTAGTTATTTAATGTCTTTTCTTGTGAAAGACATTTAACTAAAGTGTTACTGTTTTCTGTATTTAAACTGCATAAATAAAGTATCACGATAAATTTGATGAGCACACTGTTGACCAGGGATTACTGCGAATACACACAGATCTGAATCTACTGAGCATTAAGAAGTCTTCGCTTTAGAAGTCAGTTATCGTACTAAATGAATTTCGATGGAAAGTACCTAATTTCGGGAACATTTTTTCTAGTTGAATGAGTCTTCCAATTCTAATAATGGCGTTCAATTCACATTCATATAGGAACATGTTTTTGCAATGACTGTTTACACTGTTTTGCTCTGAATAACATGAACACAAATGCTTTTGCATGGATGAGTGAAATTAATTAATGTAAAAAAACAATCTTATTACGTCACATTTCGTAGTTTTCTAAACACACTGTCCTATTTTCACTGGCTTCTTCCCATTTTTACTTATTAGATGTTGTTTTTCCACATTTCCTTTTAATTCCAACTTCCATTTTCTGAGATTCACTTGGTTATCCTCTTCTAGTTTAAACGTCACATTACGTAATACATTTTCTCGAACACAATTACTAGTATCTTATTGGTTTTTATGAATTCTTTCTTGAGCATCAATATGACTTTGCAGATTTAAAAAATGATTCGATGGAAGAAAATTTCCTTCGCTGTTTCGTCTTCTTTGGTTTATCATCAGATACATTCACATATCACTTTCTTCACATTTGTCTAGTGAGAATGAGTCTGCGTATAATTATCTATTAGACCGCTGAAATTTATATGCATATCTTGCCAAAATTACGTTTCTTCAATATTATTTAATTAAATTAATAAAACTGACTATATATATGAAGTGAGAAATGATTGAAAATGTATACCTTCGTCAAACGACTGTCTGTTATGTATCTGATACTTTGACTTTAACTCATTCGAAAAAAGATTTCGACAAATGCATCTTCTGCCTCTTCTAATGTAACGACAGAAGACAAGAGTCAGGCAACAGATCGTTTATTGAGAAAATCAAGAGATATTTATAGATTTTCATATACATTATTATTCGTTATTTAAGCAAAGAAACAACTTCTTCTGATTGGTTGTTTTCTTGATGAAGGTTATTCTGTACTGCTTGTGATCGTTTCTCAGAAAGTTAAGCCATATATCTGCGAATCGTATTTGCACACGCTAAGTCTGCTGTGATTGGTTGTTGAGTTCCTCAAGGTTAGGCTTTATTCTTGTTTTTTCTTATGACCTCGATTTGGAAGACGTACGTTGTTGTTTATAAGTTTGACTTGCAGACAGCTCTCACATCACACTATAACTAGATAAACAAGGGTCCGAATGCACAGCTTCTGAAACCGGAGATGGTAAATTCCGGAATGTCTGTTTGTTTTTTATTATTAGACAGAGAATAGTACGAAAGCTATCATTTCAGAGAGCATTTCTTCGAAATCTAACACTATCAAGTAAATCATCAAACAATCTAAGATCAATGATTTTATGAGGCTGCATTAATAGACCATGACTAATAAGTTTCACGTGCGTGAAAATGAGGCTATGTAGGTGGAAATAGAAGTCACGTGAAGTCTGTCTCTTTTCGAAAGCTGTAATCATTATAAACTGATTATTATCACCATTGGAAACGACAATCTTGTGTTTCAGGCAATATTAAAACAAATCGGATTGCAACCGGAAGGTTTTTAGTTCTGTCCAAGTAAGGCGGACGCTATTCATTGCCAAAGAGTTTAAGAGGTGTCTAGTGCCCTTTGGTTGAAAATGACCCACTATCTGGTATCATTTTGTACAAAAATTCACACTGTAGTTATATTATGTTTACATTAAACTTGTGAGACGTCTTACATACACATTTCATGATGGAGCTATTAGTTTTAAATGTGGAGATTCGTGTATATATACTCACATTCTCAATTATAGTTATACATTTCAGGAGATGAATAAATCAGATCTGTAACACAGTGTTCTGAAAATTATTTAACAGAGTCTTAATGGTAATTCTCACCATACAAAACACAGAATAACCTTATCGATTCTATGGTGAGAGCCGTCTGAAAGCCAAAATTGTATGCGCCAGTTTACGTCAGTGTTTAAATCCCGAATCGGGGTCAGGAGAGAAAACAACAACAACAAAGCCGAACCTTCAGGAACTCAACAACCAATCACAGCAGACTTAGCGTGGGCTGATACGATTAGCAGATATATCACTGGGCTGTCTAAAAAACGGTAACAAGAGAGGAAAGTATAACCTACAGCAGGAAAACAACCAATCAGAAGACGTTGCTTCTCGACTAACGATAACGGATAATAATGTACATAAAAATCTATAAATATCTGTTGATTTTCTCAATAAACGATCTGTTGCCTGGCCCTTGTCTTTTGCTGTTACAAATCTGCTACCGTAAACGATTTATCCATTTCTTAAAAGCTTTTGTTGAAATTTAAATATCTCAATGTGAACACTATTCTTCCTACTTTATACCGCTAACGAATAGTTTTATTTTGTTTTTTGTATAGGTGAATGATGAATACGGAGTTAAGTCTGGTGATCAAGTTGTACAAATTGATGGTGTATCAGTTAGAAATTTAAAACAAGCTAAACAATTGCTTGAACGTTGTGGTAACTCTGTCAGTCTTTTGCTGCTTAGACCAATCAGAATTGTAAGTTGCCTATCAAAGGATTTTAATGTCATAACTGATTTTGCTATTTTGATGTGGTTGCCTTCTCTGAGCTGGATGGTTTATTTGCGAAGCTTTCATTGCCCCACTAGGCGAAATCTTCAACGCATACTTCAATTTGTTCAAGTGAGCTTTTAGATTTCTCCACGAGTTTATTAGTCATCTGTCCTGATGGGTGACCTCGAATGTGATTGGTTGTCTTCGTTTGTTTTCACACCCTCTAGGCTACTTGTATTGGAATTGATTGTTTCCATGACTTGAACTTTGGCGCTTTGTATTTTAGATTTCCTTCTTATCGATTGGTAAATTTTGTCTATCTCGATGTGTCTATTAATTGACGATTCACTGGAATACCAGGCTTCTAAAAATTCTGTAGCATTCTTGGTGTTTCCTCTGTCTAATATTTGAACGTTGTCCCAATAGAATTGATGTCGGTGGTTGTCTGTATGCAGTGAGGCGATATGAGAGAGTGAATGTCATGTCTTTTGACGGCTAGTTTATGATCATGGATACGAAGACAAAGAGGATGTCCACTTTGGCCAATATAGTATCTTTCGCAGTTGTTACAATCTATTTTGTAGATGATGTTGGTTTTATCTTCTTTCGTTGTTGAGTCTTTTGGTTGAGAAGTGATTTTGTTGTTGCTATGTTAAAAATGATTATAGCTGCATACCATAAGTTATTGTCACAGAAAAGAACACAGATCAAACTGATCAGCTTATCTACGTGACAGTAGATGAGTTAACAAAGATTAGCCGAAGTCTCAGTGTACACTGAATATGACCTGTTGCATTAGATTGACTTTTTCATGAATATATTTTTATGCGTTTGTTACGGAAAATACAAAATGACAACAATAATAACGGCTTTTTATGCATTAGAGTTCGTAGTGCTACATGGGGCTTTAAGCTTTTGAAGTTTCAAAAGCAATAATATCTCTTTTTCCGGTGTGAAGTTACTACCTTCACGCTTAGACTTCCTTATCTTCCGGAATTACCGCTGGCTAGGTGAAATTTAGGAGTGTCCTAGTTGAAAATTGAACTTCTGACCTCCTATATGGTTGTCAGGCAATCTGCCATTGAACTGAACATTCGGCAGCTTTTCCGTCCGATTTTGGGACTCTTTGACAGTACTTATCCATGACTCCCAAAGCGATCGAACCCAAGTACTTCAGATTACCTGGCGAGCCATTCTGGCAATTAAGCCACATGAACTTAATTACGTCTACTTGCCTAATTCCCAATGTAAAGAAATGTTTCTCATAAGTAACTGAAAATAACATTCGTTTTATATGAGTGGAATGATTGAAGCAGAAAACAATTGAATGTAGTTAATAGAAAACTTTTGTTTTTAAGTTTGCTCACGCTATCTTTATTGATTGACTGATAAAGTTCAAATTTCAACTTCTCATCAGTTCCATTCAGTGAAAGCACTGATCAGGATAGAAACCAAAAGACTTCATTCTTCACTTCACTAGTTGTTTATCTAAGATATTTGGCCATAATTAGACTTGTTTTAAGTTTGACCATAGGTTGATGTCAGTTAGGGAACTATTGAAAACCACTAGGGGGTACTGGACAACTGTTTCATCCCAGTTTGAGACTCACCGACAGTATGTACTCACTGTCAGTTTTCGAACCCAGGACCTTCCAGTTACAAGCCAAACTCGCAGACGATTCATCCACTGGGACCCGACTGAATGGCCATTCCATGAATTCTATCTTCAACTGGTGGTCACGCTACAATCATGAATTGATAGATGTTGGAATACATGAACCCGCCATAGAATCGGGTCCTAGTGTAAGAGTGGTCTACGAGCTTTCCTTGTAACTGGAAGGTCGTGGTTTCAAACTCCAGTAGGTAAGTATTGCAGATGAGTCCCAAAATAGTACGGGGTAAACAGGTGTTCGGTATTCTCTAACTGGTATCATTCCGTAGTTAAGATTTATACAAATCAAATCCCAACACGCTAGCTCTTGAAGACAATTTGACTGAAGGCAGTAAAGAATGTCTAAGCACACGTATGTGTTAAACCAGTCATTAGTGTATAAACAGTTGCTTCATGAACATTTAGTTTAATAATTTCAATGGGCCATGCGATATCTTTGGGTAGACATATTTATTCTTTTTTCACTTAAATCACAGTAAAATCTAGGCACTTGAGTAATACTCACATGCAACAATTTAGCCTTTTACAGCATTTGAATAACTACAAAATTATACGCCCGTTTCCATGGATAAGGATTCTACTTAATAAAGATATTAATATGTGAACTGTTTTCGTCTAATCAGAGATCACATAGATACTAATTAAATCCTAAACTCATGTAAGTTGCCCGTAAAACCTTCAGTTCCACGACTGAGAATATTATCTTAGATTTGATGGGCTATGTATGAATGACTTTCAGTTTTGATGATATAGTTGTTGTACACTGTACTTCGTAGCATCTTTGTGCATTTTCTGTGAAGGATATCTTTAAAAAATAAGTTTAGCTGAAAGTTTTCGACTCTCATCCTCCAGTTTTCAGTCATCTTTATTCAATTTTCAAATTTCATAGTCCAATCTAGGTTGTGAAAATGCTTCCTGTAATGGGTCAACCGATAAAAATGATACAAGTAGTCAATTTATTCAACCACCTCGATTATTTCCCCATATGGTGTATACAACACCAGACCGGTTAACACAAACCATATGGCTGCAGCAAAATATATTCCGAGAGAAATTAAACGTTTTGTCAAAAATTAACGGTGTTATTAAAGACGATACTAATGTCGCAGGGGTAAACCCAATTTCAAATATCAATACAAAAAAAGATACCCAAACAAATGAAACTGAAAATCGATATGAAACACGTTTGCCACGATATTCTAATTCAGAAACAGACAAGAATAATCTTACTTCTTGGACAATTCGACGAAGTGCGGATGGAACTCGTTATATAACAAAGAAATATAAAAGGTAATCTTAATTCATTTCTGTGTGTATTTAGCAATGATCAAAAAGGATTTCATTTATTAATGATTGCGACTGAGCATTGTGCGTCGGTGGCACAGAGGTAAAATGATTGCCAACCACGCCTTATTTGGTCCGGAGTTCGAACCCCAGCCGACTTACTCATTTACCTATCTAAGCCAGTTATAGGACTGGTAAAGAGGGAAAGTTGGGCATGAGGCTAGCAACCCCACGCTTAGAAATGAACACCACTGCTACCGAAAATTGAACGCTCTAGCTGGAAGCCCTATGCTCCACTGGGAACAAAAAGGAATAAACAAACTGAGCATTATTTGGAGTTTTCATGGTATTACATCTGAAGTGAGTGTTAGTTTTAATTGGGCCTACTTACTTCAAAAAAAATACAAAACGTTGATGGTACTCTGACTAGACGGAAAACAGAAACCTGTTTAGAGTGCCGTTTATTACAGAATATTTATTTCTGGGGAGGATTTTAGCCGTGCTTTTCCTCCTCTGAAAATTTTCCTATGTGATCACAGATTAAAAGACACAACGTATTATATACGAAGATTTCTTTTTCATTAGTTAGTTTGCTATGTTCTTTACACTGGAAAAGTGTGTATATCCTTATGTTCCGAGGGGGAAATATGCTATCAGGTTGGAGGTGGTAGTATTTTTACAGGCTGAGGTTGCTAACCTCACGGCCGATTTCCGCCCCCACATCGGGCTTCCTACAGAATAGGTAAGGTTTAGGAGTTCATCGGCTGGGAATCGAACCCGCGTCTGATCAGTTCTCGGCAAGTATTGTAGTACTAAACCACCTATGAACACTATGTGTCATTTGTATTCACACCAAGGCTGCACGGATATTTCGATCAATTTTTTAACATAAAAGTAAATATTTCAATAAGAAAATTAAAAACACGGTTCCAAAAGAGAAAATCTTCTCTTTGACGAAATCATCAACTAGGCTGCGCGTTCGTATTTATGTGGAAAAGTGATAAGAACGTTTCACAGCTATTTCCGGTCTAATGACAAATCATAACAAATAGCAAGATTAAAAATGTAATAACAACAAAAATAAACGGGAAGTTTGCATAAGAAACGTAATCGAATAATCACTATTCAGAGAAATGGCCATTAATGAGAGCCATGGTAGAGAAAAAGATAGGACGTATTTCTCTTTGAATACATAACGTTGCCTTGGACTTTTGGGTCGTTATTGCCTCAGCTATGCCTAGATACTTTGATCTCACTTCCCCTGAAAGGTCTGGTTGGACTGTGAAGAATTTCTCAAGTGGAGTTGAGTGCCCTGAGTTCACTAGATGTTCGGTTACTGAGCTGCATACAAACCTATGTTCTCCGTCCGCTAGCCAGGCTGGATAGTGGCCCAGTGGACGCTTCACAAGCGGACGTATGGTACAGCCAACGTACTCATCTCCACAACAGCATCTTAATTGGTATACGTATATTCAAGTGGCCTCACGCAACAGCTTGTTTCTCATGTGCTTTTAGGGAGAAAATGTTTCTCGTAGGTTGGTAGCGAAGTATGCCTTACTGAGAGATTTTGAAAACCTTTCGCGAGAAATTTCTGCTTCAGTAACACTTTCGAATTCGAGATTCAGCAGCAAAATATTTCCGGGGGTGACACAGATGTTTTTGGTTTCAGGTTCTTGTCTATGAATCTGGTTGGGAAACCATTTTTCATTGTGATTCTTCGGAGATTTCGAAGTTTTTCCTCAACAGAATCCTCGGAGTACATAATCCCAATCCTTGAGGAAAGAGGACAGATAAGATTTCTCTTCCTGCTTAAAGAGCATAACTTTGAAAGCTGATAAACTGCCCACTGCATATTGGCTTTTTGTGGGTGGATCATTAGCATAAGAGTCACACACGAACATTTTATCAGTATTTATCTCCATAATAGTTAGTTAGTTGATTATACAGTAGACTTTAAGTCGTAAAATATAACATAAAGTTGTTTTACTACAGTTAAATAAGATCCAAAAATAAATGGTTATTAGAAGTAAATGGCCCTTGCCTTTTTCATAGCTAAAACGTATGTAAGATATAGACTAAGTGTTGTAGTATGTACTGTTACGAAACGGCTAACACAAAAAATCTTACAGGGATAGTTCTTATTCTAAATTATTATTCCGATATGTTAAGTATTTGTTTGGTTTGAGGATTTCCTCAGGAGCTCACATCAGTTACAGAACTTTTGGAAAACCACCTGCGAGTACTTCACAGCTGTTTTGTCAGCCTAGTTTGGGACTCTTCATCAGTACACACCCACCGGCGTTCTAGCCAAGGACCTACTTGGTTCTCTAACTGATGTCAGCTCATGATGGAATCCTCCAACCAAACAAATAAAATTCTCAACAAAACCTATACTGAAAATTAATCTAGCTACTGGTCTTATTCTGGCAGTTACCTGAGGTTCCAGTGTAAAGTCGTACCCAGCAGGGTACAGCAGGTTGAAGGTGAGGCAGTAACTCATCAACAAAGACAATGCGAAATGGTCGCGCTAGGTCGTGAATCGGCAGAAGTTAGAATTCATGCACTGGCCATTGGATCGGGTCCCAGTGGCCTAATGGTCTACAAGCTAGCTCGCCTTGTAACCAGAAGGTCCTGGGTTCGAACCCCGGCAGTGGGTTTTTACTTCTGGAGAGTCCCAAACTAGGACAAGGGACACCGCTCTCCAGTACTCCCTGCAGGTCTTCCAATGGTTCTCTAACTGATGTCAGCTCATGATGAAATCCTCCAACCAATCAAACAAAATTCTCTACAAAACCAATACTTGAAAATTTAATATTTGTCTTCACAATCAATGACTTTACTAAGAAGAATAGTTTCACATAGTTTAGTTTCATCAGTGTGAAATTTGCTTGTCAATTCCATGATAAGTTTTATGAAGAATGTTCGCACGATAAGAAGTAAATAACAGTGTTTAGGAGAGTGTAGCTTGAACAGTGCCTCAAATTCTATATGTGTGACATTAAAGGGGTATAAATTTATTTACTGAAGATACAAGAAAAATTATAAATGATAATACCATTCTGGAACTCCAAGTTTTCATACATTTTCTTCAATATCATTTTGAGTGACCATTCTGTATTTTAAGGGATGACAGTTTCACTCAGTATCCTGGAAGTATGGAAACGCTTTCATTTAAAGACTCTGATTACTCCTCATTAAACACATTTCAAAGCCTAGAGAATATAGGACAGTTTTAAAACTTTATCCCTCTCTGTTTTTGTTTCAGATCATCAGAACTGCCAACATGTAGAACAACTCGAATGAATGACAATAACCGGTACCAAAGTGACAAAAGCCTGTCCATTAGTCATACGAACTCATCAAGCTCAGATATATCTGAATACCATCCAGCTTCCAAGCCACATTCTAAATCTATATCACATTTGGAAAACAAAAGCAGCCACATACTACAGTGGAGTCATACAGACAATAATCCCAGTGAGAACCAACTAAGAACCAAAAGAAAAGAATCCATAAAATATCCAGAGTATAAGCTACAGAAAACAGGCATTCTAAAGAACACTACCGACAATTTGTATACACAGTCAAATATACCGACATCGATATTAATGAAACCGCCTATTCTATTCCGACGAAGTCATTCTGCCAATGTATCCCGTAATACAAGTGTACATTTTGATCTTGACAAGAAGCATACATCATTCTTAGGAAATCAATCACAATATCATAAACAAAATCACAAATTGAAGTCTTCTTCAAATTATAAATCAGTTTCCGTTGTAACTATGTAACATGGAATGCATGATGTCTGTAGCATTTCTGCAGTAATTATCATAAATCAAAAGCCAGGAGACAAATGAAAACACTGTATAAATAATAACAATAATAATAAAATCACAATTTTATACAACAATAAAGCATAATAGTATTAATTGGACTTAGATTTGACAAAATTATTTTGAAATAAAACTTTATATTGTTATTCACATTTAATTTTCTAAAAGTTGGAAAAAAAACGACTTTTCCAGTTCTGCGCAGTTTTAATGAAATCAGTTTTTTTTTAATTATGCTAGCTTATATATTAAATACTAACAACTAAGTATGGAATAGGATTGTTAATGTTACGAAATGATTCTGCGTAGGTGAATACGAGAAAGATTGTTAACCGAGTCTATTTAGAAAATTATTTCGTAACGTCTACGAGTTTAAATGAATTTTAAAAAAATAATTTCTGGGGGCGACCTGCTTAAATCACTAGGTTACAGGAATTGTTTTCCACTAAAATGCTTAATTTCATCTGGATTTATTAATGTTTTAATCGTTCAATTATATCAAATGACCTATACATGAACTTACGCGCTGATTTAACCTTCTTTCAAGTAAACGTCGTGAAATTCCTCAACGAAATGAAGATGTACTTCAGAATTTTACTTTACATGTAAATCCTGTATGAAGAAATAGGGAATTCGGAATTAAATGCGCTGAAAATGTTTGTTCAATATGTTCGCATATTGTTTGAAATAAAGCTTTACTATTGTTAATTATGCAAGAGTAGATTTTGGGGACTTTTATAAAATATAATACGAATATTAGATAGGTTCTTCTGGCATAATCCACAGAGATACAGTAATAATAGCTGGCTGGATGTTTGACTGCAAACTAAGACGGAAACAAGGTGATGGGGGCAAAGTTAAACTTTAAGCACCACTATCTACCAATCAGCGAACGACCTCCATCAGAACAATCACATGGAAGAGGGATTTTTGATAAACGAAAACGTATATTTATGGAAAAAAGCATAAAAACTGCATAAAACTGTTACAAAGGGTATCTTTCTCTAACATGTGACAGAAACATCTCCCAGTTCAGTATAGGAGTGTCAATAGAAAAGTCACACCACTTTCCCTTCATTTTTCATTCAAATGACTATAAATGACATCCTTTTGAGATCCATTTATAGCCCTAATCCTATTTTTTAATCTTCCCCAAAATCCTTCTATAGAATTTGTGTGTGTCCCTGTAATTGGATCCACAAAATCACTAGAATGGTTCACTCTTTGATGAATATATGCAAGAGATAACAGTGAGTTATAACCTTTCCATTCATCAGTATGTACTATTGATCCCTGTTTCACCAGTCGAGTGACAAAGGTACTAAGGTAGTAGACTTTCTGTCTGGTATTCTCTCCACGAATCCTTTCCACAGGGAGGTGTCATATAAACCGATCATCCAAACATTGTTGGCTCGCTCACGACCACCGTTGTACTTTTTCTTCAGTAAGACAGTTTCGTCCATGTGTATGACGATGCCTTCTCCACCTAACAAAGAAACAATTCTCTATTTACCATCAGGCGATGTCTCTGCTGTGCTGATACCACTGAACTGTTGACTCAAGCCTAGTTTCGGTTTCAGCAGGTGAGCCTCTCACAGGGTCTTTTAAAACCAAGTAGCTACAAATATACAAACTGTGGGTTAGGGAAAGATGCGAACTAGCAAAACGTGTTCCTACGATTTATCAAAATTATCAGCTTACCTTCTCCAATACTAACTCGTCTCAAAAAATCGCACAACGATGTACATATCCATCAATCGACATGCTAAAGCTTTCAAAACTCATGACACCACTACATAAACAAATCCTCTCCTTCCTAAGCAACCCTAAATTCAGGCAATACTGCAAAACCTTATCCTCATCGAACTGCAAGTGTAACTTTGTTAGAGCAGGCATTTGACACGAGTCTAGCGCTATACAACCTTGAACTCACGTGCATGAACCTCATTGGACCATTCGAGGTCGTTAGCTGATTGGTATTCAGTGGTGCTTAAGGTTTAACTTGACTTGATGGGTTAGATAACTGGCATCCAGAGGAAACCAATACATTCTGATAAATACTCAGACTTTGATTCATCCCACTGAAAATCAATAAGGGTACGTTTAGTTGAGTGTTTATATAATTGAGCCAGGAAACTAAGTGGTAAGCCAGAAGCCTCAATAATGCAACCAAGCAGATAAAAAAACATTAATTGGGAATAACCATCCACCAGATTGTATTCAGAAAGGTATGAAGATCCAAAAGGAAAATAACATTAGTAACGTAAACAATTGAAGTAGTATAAATAATAAGGAATTCAAAACCTCGATAGTTCTGGCATATAGAGAAGGAACGTCAGAATTCTTGAATAAGGGTGGTATTTAAAACAACCAACTCACTGAGAGAACAGTTTTGTCAACCCAAAGACCTGACAGACTCAATGAAGAGAAATAATATAGTTTACTGAATACCATACAATGACTGAGGTCAATTACTTATGTCAGACTAGTAGATCGAGGTCTAACAGTTAATCGAAAAATAGGAATTTAGCTATAGATGGAGTGATTGGTCCTTCTAAGTTAAATAAGCCAGAAAAATGTCAGCTATCTCGATAGACTCAATTGGATGTAACAACAAAATAGGGTGTGTAGGATAGGGTGAAAATAATAAAAATTAATATTGTTATTATTCCGTTGGGCTTTGAGCGAAACATACAGCATCAACAACATATCTCCATTTTCTTTGATTTGATGCTGTCCTCTTCATCTGGATCCACGACTGTCCATAATCTCTCATCTGCGCCTCGCACGATTTGCCCCATTTAACCCTAGGATAATAACACATGGGTCTGGCGCACTATGCCCTTTGACGGTTTTCTCAGCGTACGCCCAATCCATCTACGTTTTCCCCTGCAAAGTTATTGAGAGATCGGCTCCTAGTTGGTTTGTTCTCACAGTTTCTTGTTACTGTTGCTTTCTGGCTATCCGGCCATTTGATATTCAGTATGGAGTTAAAGAAGTTGGCAGCTGTTGATGCTGGTCTGTAACTTGTTGAAAATCCTCTTCGTGAACCGCTCGCCAAGTTTCTAACCTATATAAAAGAGCTGACTGACTGACCTCAGACTTGTGTTGAAAATTCGAATCTTGTTCCTTATGTCGAGTGCGGGAGATTTCCAAACTGGTTCCAATTTGATGAAGACGTATCTCGCCCTTCCGATTCTGGCTGGCCTTGACATCTTCTTCCGTCCTAGCGCCTGTGTTTGAAACAATACTTCTTAGATAAAAGAAGGAGGGTAACCTCTGTCAAATCTCTCCAGTTGATGGTGATTAGTGCTGTTTGCTGTTGCTGTTGTTTGGTTATCTTCATTACCTCTGTCTTCCCTATTTTCACCTAGACTCCTGTCTTCTCTGCTTCTTCAGCCAGTTTGTTGCTTTTCGATCGCAAATCTTTAAGTTCGTGTGACAAAAAAGTAATTTATTTAGGTGGGAAATAAGGTCAGTCATCGGATCTGTGTTCATCTAATCTACACCAAACAAGTATTGGATGTGCGAAAATTTTCAAATAAGAAATAGGTGCTATTAGGGCAACTTAGAACAAGTTATGAAGTCGTGTAAGCACAGTGATATGATTATGAGTAATAGGATGTGCTCAAAATGTCACTCAACTGTTAATACTGTATCGCTGAGTGTCACACCAAATAAGCTTGTCTAGTATGGAAAAGGAAAATGTAAGACTTCTCATTAGAATGAACCACTCTATGTTCCTATTATTTCTTAACTTTAGTATCAATGGCCACTGTCCTACTTAATCTTGATTCAGCTACCGCTGTGTTCCCAGCAAAATCACTGCTTGGTTTGCACAAAATATATTTTATGCACTTGTCAATGTTTGGCATTCATAGCATTTGCTTCTCATAACTAAATGCTTCATAGGATACTTGCAAAGCATGCGTACCATCAATGCACTGAACGACCCTGTACTTATCAATAGTGTTTAATGCTGAACTCCTTACTGCACAACTCGGATTCTCTTCCAAAACAGCAGTACATCTCTTAGACGTAACAGACAATAAAGATCAGCGAATATCAAGAACATAGTTTGAAACGATTTAGCATTAGAAAAACAGTTTAAAAATCCAAACACATTTGAATCAGGAAGAAAATTCAACAAAGGTAAAATATTCTGCATCTATGGGGTGCATATTATCCCTTAGATGTAGTCTTCAAATTACTGTTCTTCTTTCTTCACTAATGTTAATCAATGAAACTGCCTGCATTATATGCAAATTCATTGGGTATAATATTCTTGGATGGGTATTCCGGCCCTTTATTTAAGGAGACTACTATTAAGTATCCAGTTCAGTTTCAACAACAAGCTTTATAGACATAGTAATGGAGTGGCAATAGGGTCACCATTAGGTCCTTTACTTACAGATTGCTTCTTGAAAAGTCTAGAGAATAGTACGTTACGACCCATTATCGATAGTTTTCAAATGTACCAAAGATACATGAGTGATACTTTCATCATACGTGACGAGAATACCAACATCGAAATAACAAGTAAGGAGTTCAACAACTGCAATCATGCTATTCAGTTCTTGTCGGAATCAGAAATGAACTCGGAATTCCAATTTTCGGATGTTTTTTAAAAAGGAGAACTGACAGTTCTCTTGAAAGATCGATCTACAGGAAACCAACATGGAATGGTCATTACACGAATTTTCATATTTGGGTCCCTTTGAGAAGAAATAGAAATCCGATCCACTCCTTATCCTCAATAATAAGAAGGACATGTATCAGTGATACATTCGACGGGGAATTAGAGCGATTCAGATAAGTCATCAGAGAAAATGGATATCCTCGAAGATACATCGAAAAAAACATGAAGTTAAAGCGAAAGCCAGAAAGAACATTAACAGTACCGAAGAAACTGCTATTTATCAACGGTGAATTTAAAGGTGATACCACAGCTGAGATTC